CATGTATACCAGGGCTGAAGAGCATTTCTGGCATGTATTATCAGAAAGTACATAATTCAAGATGTCAGCTGCATTAGATGGCTTTTTAGCTTGTTTACCAGGATGGAGGGAGCTAATGCACAGAAATAAAACGGGGCTTATACTCTCTTAGTCTTCTGCTTGGGTGGACAGGATAGCTCAGAACTGGGGTCTGACAGAGCACTAGTAAACCTTTAATAAAACCTGAATATTGATATTTTGTTAGTATAAAAACATGCATTGGCTGCAAAACATATGTAGGTGGGTTTCATAAGAATAAGCCTAGTTTTCTATCACTATCCTGAACAGGATAAAATGAAAATTAGAAAAGCCTTCACTTAACCTTCAACAGACCTTTGGCATGTGTGCATGTTCCTCCTGTGAGTTTTATCAGGCATCTTTGCGAGGCATTTTATCCCCTTAAAATTCTGTTTCTACTTCGACAAAAGTAAGCCCCTATTTTGTTAGTTTGTGTTGCTCAAAGATTCAGCAAACTGAACTTTAAAAATTCATAAACAATAAAAACGCATATTTGTATCTGAATAAATAATTTTATTTAACGACATGCAAATAGTAACTGATTTAACTAAAGCATTACAATTCTGAAATAATTTAAGTTACTCTTGGAAAGGAGTATGTTTTACTCCAAGTGGGAATAAAAGAGAAGTGCAGGGTCTGACCACTGCTATTTTACCCAGATGGCAGAAGCAGGGCGTGTGCCCAAACAACGCCATCTGATCACCACCTCTGTCAAACTGCTAGCACAGCCGGCGTGATCCCCAGCCTGCTTTCAGCCTAGGCCACCTGGCTCTCTTCTGCATGGTGCCCAGGCGTGTTTCAGTGACTAGCCCTGTTGGATGGAGCCACCCTCTCTATAGGATAAGAAAGTTTAACCATATAGGTCAGTCGACCAAAGGGTCTGGTAATGGACCTAGCTTATTTCTGAGTATTGCTGTAGTCCAAGTGAGACAATTCTTGCTGGATTTTTTAAAAGATAAATGCACCTAAATATCTAGATTACTCGCTGAAGATAAATGCATTTCATTTTTTCTTTGTTAATGCTGTTTCAAAAGACTAAATAGCATGTTGTACTACTTAGTCCTGTAATATCAAGTCGAAGGCCAGTGTAATTTATTATTGTTATTATTTTTAAATTGCATTTGAGTAAAATATAATTCAATAAAGCTTGATGTGGTAGAGACAGGACACATACTTGAATCTGCTTCCTTTCCAACTTTTTGCTTTCCTGGAACAGTGCCAGCAATACCATTTATTGTGGAAATTATCTTGACTCTGAGTAGTCCCAGGAGAAAAAACATTAAACTCTTTTATTATTTTTAAATTTTGCATTATGATTAAGCATGCAAAATCTTTCATATGTCAGTTTTGGTAACCCAAGAACAAATATGGGTCTTCTGGAGGTGAAATGCAAGCCCTTTCGATTCAGTCCATTGTTTTCTGCCAAGCTATGATGCTACTGGGCATGGAGCTAAACTGTGTTAGAAGGTAGATTGCAGAAGGTAGATTGTAAAAGGTAAATAGCATGCTGCTAGGTATTTTCATTTACAATAAAGGTCAAAACAGCTGAATAGTTTATGGAACTGGTAGCTGAAACAAAAGGAATGTCTGTCCTAAGTAGCCTTTGTGCAATCCTGAAAGGGAGAGTGACCCACATGATTTGTAAGGGTTACCTTCCAACCTACTAAATGACATTTCACTGTATTTGTGACAAAAACAGGCAAAGCTGAGAGACTGAACCATCACAGACACTGGGACACAGAAAGGAAAGCTGTAAAGAAAACAAGGATTTGGGACTATGTGGTGGAAAAACAATTCTATGAGTGAAGATAATGTTCCAGTTATTTGATGCTTGTTATTTTCAATAAAAGAGTACTTAATATACTGATTATGTAAATGAACAGGATAGCACTGTAGAAATAGCAAGTTCCACTTCCAGTA